CTGTTGTGCTGGCGGGGGATCTGAACGCACAAGTTGGAAAGTTATCCACTGATGAAATGCATCTGGGCGGTCAGCACGGTGTAGGCTCCCGTAATGATAACGGTGAGCGGTTACTTCATTTGTGTGAAGATGCTGGCTTATTTCTTGCGAGCACTAACTTCCAACACAGCACCCGCCGGAAAGTGACTTGGCGCCCCTCAGCCTTGGACGCAGATCGATCACATTGCTTTAAGTTACCGATGGAGAGGCTGCGTTTAGAACTGTCGCTCGATTTGGAGCACATGTGTGGACACCGATCATGCACTTGTATGTGCTGACCTGCGGATGCGTTTTGGCGGACGCCCACGACGACGCTGTGAGCGCATTGATACCAGCCAACTGACAAAGCCAGCTGTTCTGAATGCCTATCAAAGTACACTGACATGCGAGTTGAGTAAGCGCCCACTGGACACAATTGATGGTCACTGGTCACATGTTCACCAGATCTTATTAGCAGCAGGCAAATCCTCATGTGGTATGTGTGGTATGTGGTATGTGTTAGCCTCCGCCTCCATCTACGATCTCATGTGGTGTCGTAAAACATACTTTGTTGTTTTGCCTAGTAGCCGGCAGGTAGCTTACCGGAATGATGCCCATTCGTTGCTGGTATCTCAGATTGCATGGAACTGTTGTATTTATTTTCCTTTTCCTATATCTATTGCGGCACAGTAGCTGAGAGGTTTCCCACCTCCAGCTGACGTGTATAATGATGATGGTGATCTCGTATTCCTAGTGGGGCTGTCGACGAACTGGTATAATGGCATCTGCAGCGCTACGTCCAGCAGTTCTGTACCGAACGATCCCAGTGCGGAACTGCCCGATAGATCATCCCAACAAACCTCTGGGAGTTTGAAGTCTCCCAGCACCAGACAGTTGTTCGCAGAGTGAGTGCGTATAAACTCAATGATTCCATTGGAGGTGCTCATAGGTCTTCTATCTACTAACACGACCATAACCTAAACCGAGGCAGCGCTAATCAAGACTGCGAGAGCTTCAACAGATTTGTCGGGAGACTGGGAAAAACTGGTCGTCAATACGTCGATGTGATAACTCACATGAAGAGCTACACCACCCCCTTGACGGCCAATGGAGCGGTCAGCGCGGAACAGTGCGTAGCCAGGCAGATATACTTCGCAATCTGTGATTTCCTCAGTCAGCCGCATTTCAGTGAACGCAAGTATATCTGGACGAGATTTGTCTACGAGCAGACCCACCTCGCACATCTTGTTCCTCAGGCTACGCACGTTACTAATTACTACTTGGAGGGCTTCGGCACGACCGGCCCTGGAGCGTCCGGTAGGATGAACGCCTCATCAACGGATGGACTGTCAGCAGAAGGACAGTTCGTTACAGCGTCCACATTCGCAATATTCAGGGATTTCATAATCAAATCCACTTTAGAGTTGAGCGAGACAAGAGATGCAAGCTCGGCTAACGCCTTCTCAACAATTGTGAATCTGAATACTAGTGCTTTGAATTCAGCACAGGAGCTTCGCTTTCTTGGCGCAGCAATCAGCACATCTAAACAGAAGGTTTTCACTGGATGATGGCATATTGTACTGATTCGCTCGGAGGCCGGTACAACTTTTGTGAAACCAGCGGGAGCAAACATCACACTGCATACTACCAGATGAATCCGTAACTGGCCTTGAACAGGCAGAATTGCCGCAAGCTGCATTTGACTTATCAAACGAGGACGCAAGGGGTTCATCCGCCTCGGTTTTTAGCGAGATGACCATGTTTAAGTTTAAAACAATGACATATTGGCATTACTCTAGCCTGCCATTACCGTATACATGAATATACGACGTCTGAACTACGTGAGCATGTTTACACTGACTGTACCAGGCAACCGTCACGGACAATACTTTAATCGCTTATCGTTAGAAGGTCGCTCCGATGTCCTTTAAGGGATAATTTACATTGCATATGCAAACTGGATTTCCCAAGTGGTCACCAGATTAATTTCGCGATAATCAGACGCTTAGAGAATGTTAAGAGAGATTTAGTATGGATATTTCTTCCCTTATTTTCACGAGTAGAGATAACACTTCGGATTCTAATGCACCGTCTTTGCATCATTTGATATTAGTGGTTCCAAATTCTCGGTTGTATCGGCACCGTGAACCAATATTTTTCATCTGCACTCATTTCCTATTGATCCTCCTGAGAAGATGAATTTTCCGAACCATTAAACCGAGATAAATGCGCTGTTCTCCCAATGGGTAGCACTGAACCGTACGGTGCATGCCACATTGGTGAGTTTCTCCTCAGGAATACTACTCACGCTCTTTTTTAACAGTGCAGTATATCCTAATCACTGGAAGACTTCCGTTGTTATCCCGCGGCATAAGAATGGGAACGTTCACGAAATTAAAAACTATCGCCCCATCAATCACACACCTGTAATATCTAGAATTATGGAAAGGATAGTGAAAGATGAATTACTTATTTTCTTGAATAAGAAAAACGTCATCAACAATTCACAACACGGTTTTTTGCAGGGCAGATCTTGTGCGACATGCCAGACAGACTTCTTAAACCACACAACGGCTGCCATAGACAAAGACAACAGTTTTATTGTCCTGTTCTTAGACATGCAAAAAGCATTCGACAGAGTGCCGCGTCGAAGACTACTCCTCAAGCTGAAGGAAATAGGTATTGGAGAACCAATGTTTTCTTGGTTGTCGTCATACCTAGCTGACAGACATCAGGTGGTGCGTATTGGCGACCGTGTCTCTAAACCGAAAGCAGTCACCATTGGAGTAATTCAGGGAAGTGTACTTGGTCCACTTCTTTTTCTCCTCTACGTCAACGATGTATTTCATAGAATAAGACATGGTGCTACTTTTCTGTTTGCTGATGACATTACTCACAAGAACGTGCAGATACCCGCGCAGCCTTGTGCCACGTTCAGGAAGATCTATCGGCACTTGAATCCTGGTGCAAACTGTGGCAGATGTCCTTTTCCGTGGACAAGTGTAATATTCTGTCGTACAAATGCGAAGTTCCACCAGGCAGTCTATTATTACAAGGCACGATTATATCAAAGTGCAAAGTGCTTCGCGACTTGGGTGTGCGGTATTCCACTACCTTCAACTTTTCGGAACATTGTGACTTCCAAGTTTCGAAAGCCATGAAGACTATTGACTATATCTGTCATAAATTTCAACTCACAGAATCTCGTATCTGGCTTTACAAAACATATGTGTTACCTGGCATGGAATACTGCTCACTACTACAGTCGAATCTGCGGAAATCTGACCAGCATGCTCTTGAGAGGGTACAGCGACGCTTTACAAAGAAGCTGTGCGGATATTCCTCCAAGATGACCTACAGAGAGCGCAGTGAAAAACTTGGACTTGACCCACTTTGGCTACGGATAATGAAGATGAACTTGTGTTTCCTGTACAGAATAATTCACCATCACATGCACAATTATGCTAACTGTGTCCATATGTCCGTTAACACTAGATACGAGCTATGAAATAAGGAGACAACGGTCATGATTCCAAAGTTCAATGCGCGAATTAGGGAGCGTTTCTTCTTAATACACTGCTCAAAGCTTTGGAACAAACTTCCAAGAGCTATCAGAATTTGTTGCACATTGCGTTTGTTTAAGCGTTCGATAAAAGATCATTTAACCGTTCAAAATGTGATAATAATGTTTCGAACAGCACAGTCCTTAGATAACGCTTTTGAGAACGGAGTTAATGGTGCCTGAAAATGCATGTGGTCATGTGCACAAGTGGTTATATTTTGTTGGCCCGCAGCACTTTATTCTCTCTTTTTTTCGTGTGCGATCAACTCTCATGTGACTGCTAAAAACTTGTCAGACGATAGAACAAGAGGCATGTAAATATTTTGGACCGCTTCGCTCTACACAAATTTTCATTTTGTGCTCACATTTTTTAAATTTATTAAACCATGATATGGAACTGCTGTACCATTATTTGATCCGTCCCTTCTGGGAACGGCTTCTCGCATCGTCGAGCCATATACAATTTATTTATTTATTTATTTATTCTCGTGACTTCTGACCTTAGAACGACGCAGGACACGTTGAAGGTCGCCACTGGAAGGAGACTGGTGGGTGCCTTAAGAAGATCATTCGTTCGAAGGACTCCTGAGATTTTTCGACCTTTGTTCACTTTGTACGTCCGTCCAATCTTATAATATGGCCTACCAGCTACCCATCCGCTTTCAAAGTTTGAATGCGCTCTGCTGGAAAAGGTTCAGAGACGTGTATCGAGACCTGTTCTGGGGCTTCGTGATCTCCCGTACCCCATTCGACTCCAGCAGCTAAATCTCCTCTCCTTCGACCTCCGCCGTCGCGAGGTGATCTCATCTACACTAGGCGCATCCTCCGAGGGGAACTTAAAAGTGAGTTACAACAATTCTTCCGGCCCAACACTAACTCTTCCACACGAGGTCACATGGGAACTATTTAAGCAAAGAAGACAATTCGCATAGACGTCAGCCTATCCACTAGAGTGGTGAATGATTGAAACAGCCTACCAGAAGAAATTGCAGACGCGCCATCCGAAGAAAGTTTCAGGCGGCTGCTAGACAAACATTCGCTGAGAATGCTGGAATCTTGTGGCGGTGCCTGCAATTGCGACGAACCCTCGAGGAACGTCGTAATGCAACGACACGCATCAAACCCATTATAATACGGAATCGATGGGGCTGACAAGGGATTTCCCTCCTGCTCTCTACAACTCAGTGAACTCATTGAATGAACAGTCTGTTGGACCTCTACATAAAACTGGTTGTTCCATGTTCTTCTGCCCTACCTAGCTTCGTCATGAAGTTTTTCGAGATCGATAAGTCGGTCGATTCTGTCGTGACTGTTTTCATAGTAATCTAGCTCGGGAATATTTATATTACGACGGCCCTATCGTTTATTTCTCACAGTTTACGTCATGGTACTGAACTTTCTGCATTTTTTAATCTTCAGGAAATCTTTCATTTCAGTTTTTGATCGACTTGGCCGCTGTCTCTGCCTGAGATGTGGGAGCCAACGTCGGATGAAAAGCGTGATCCTTACTTGGCAAATAAACATTCTTTGGTTCCTGCCTTTCTTGCCTCGAAAGGTTTAGTGAAACTTCATATCGATTCTTACAACCACTTCATTGAAACGGAAATCAAAAATATCGTCCGTGCGAACAACAGGGTCAGCGTCCCAGAAGCCAATTGGTGGTTAGAGTATAATGACGTGTATATTCGTCCGCCTACCGTGAACGATGGGGGTGTTGTCGCTAGTCGCGTGACACCACATGATTGTCGTCTTCGAGATTTGACGTATGCGGGCGAAATTTTGGTTGATGTCACCTTCATGCGACAGAATGAGATTGTTTCAAAAAAGGGTGTTCTAATCGGAAGACTGCCCGTTATGCTGAAAAGTTCTGTGTGTATTCTGAGTGGTGAGTTCTTGTTCGTTATTGTGGAGATCTAGACGTTGGCAAGCTTGTGACTTGTGTGCCACGTTGGTGTTTTATGAAGCCCTCTGTCGCAATGTGCGCGGTACCATGCATCTCTGCATCTTTTACCAGATCATCGTATTACTAACGAACCAGCACTTTATACCAATGTCGCTCGTATGAATTTGCAAGCAGTTGTATGCAGTCTAGGACACGGGTCATCTATCGTTATTTTGCGTGCTCGGCCCCATCCGACAAATAGAGAAGTCATAGTGCCTACTGTGGCCACAATAGTACCAGAGCCAACTAAATACCACATAAGTGTTGAACACATAAATCTCTTCTAAGGTGCTGACACGCCTACAAAACACCATCATCATTCTACACATTTGCTGGGGGGTAAGTAGCACCCTATCTATCGTGCCACAGTGCGATTCAATCAAGTAGCAGTAAAAATAAAAAGATAACGACGACCAAGCAAAACAAAAAATATTACAGTTGTTTTATATCATGCATTAACAAAGAGACGGTGGTTGGTGGGGGACACTAAGTGTGATGGGACCTGATAAAACTACAATACAAACGCCATTGTGGTCGATTCTGCCAAATCGATAAGTGCGTCAGACGTATTTAGGACTCTAAACCCGGATTCGAAGAGCTCTACTGGAGGCCAGCTTTATAGTGAGCGCCTTCATCCCCATTGACTACCTCGTCGGCTGACCTCCCTTTTCTTCTATGCAGACTCCGGTCGCGTAAATCACGCGTTTCGCGGGAGTGGGTGTGTTGACATACGTAACGCATGACTAAGCCATCGGAGCTTGTTGTGTAAAATGATGGTACTGAGTGGTTCGCCCGCTCTTCCTGCACCATAACCAAGACGTAGAACGCGCTCATTGCTCACCTGGTGTTTCCACCAGTTGGGACCCAAGCTATGAAGTCCCAGTGATCGAAGGTAACAGGCCTCTTTACGTCCGTCGATTTTATGGACCAGTTTTCACTACGGTGCAGCTACCACAAGTTTGTGAAAGCTGGGAGGACACTAACCATTGTGCCGCAATATCAAAAGAGAAGATAATATAAGCTAGAACAAGATACTGATCATTACAGATCGCGAAATGAAAAACGGAAACTAGTAACATAATTTTATGGATCGAGGACGGGGAAGATAATCGGTACGAGAGAGGACAGAGAAGCTTGCATCACAAACCTCATTGAGGTCTGCTCTTCGCCATGTCATCAAGTGTATCCAACCCAAGTGTTCGTCGCCCTTCCGACCCTAGCTCGGCAGTCGTGAGACATCTCCCGACGCCAACTTCGAAGTAATGGTTTTCATTCATCTTGAAAAAGTCATCGCTTGCCCTCCCCACTTTTTCTTCTATTCACGCCCGGTCGCGCAAACAACTCATGACTCGCGATTCGGTTTGCTGACATACGCAACACGTGACCTAGGCTTCGCAGCCTGGTGTTTGATATAACACTACTGAGCTGTTCACTCGTTTTTCCGGCACCAAATACTCGATGGCGAGCACGTTCACTGCTCACGCCGTGCTCCCGTCATACGTCAACCAAACTGCGCAGATATCGATGGTCGAACGTAACTAGCCTCCTATTGTCTGTCTATGATAGGCCGGCTTTCGCAATTGTCCAGAAGGTTGAACGAACGGCTTTATTGTAAACCCTGCCCTCCAGCTCGAGAGGGATGTTGTGACGACACCACAGATGGCGGAGATGGACAGAAGCACCCCGAACTTTTACTATATGGTTAGTGATCCCATCGATCCCATGGGCGCTTATATACCCGCTGATATACTTGTATTTCTGTACGACTTCTAGATGATACCCATCAAGGGTCAGTGCAGGAGTGATCCCTGCCAATTTTGGAGGACTTTTCATTTGAGAGTGAAAAGCATAGCCCGAAACGATTGACAAACAGGGCTAATGTTTCCATTTTTGCTTGGCACATTTGTGCGTTGTTACAGAATAAGGCAGTGTCGTCGGCGTACTTCATGCCAAGAGGTCTTTCACCCAGAAGCTCTAAGCTGTGCACCTTTAGTGCCGTTTACATAACTTGGTAAATGGCGAAGTTACAAAGGAACGGGGACATTGAGCAATCTTGTCTCACCTTGAATATTGAAAGGTGGCGATAGTGATTTATAACTCCCTACTCTGTCCGAATTATGCACCTAGAGTGCTCTGCTTATGTTTAAATGTTTCTCGGGCAGACCTTTCTTGAACAGAAAGTCACACAGGGCACATCGAATCACCGGATCGTAGGCACTTTTGATGTCGAGGAACGCGATAACGGCGGGTTGTTAATAAATATGGCGGTTCCAATAACTGGCGTAAAGGGAAATCGGATCAATGCAGCCTCGATTTCGACTAAACCCGGCTTGCTCCTCGCGTATCTAGCCTTCACAGATACCGGTCAGTCCATGTAGAATGACAGGGACAAGACATTTGGTGGTATTGGTGATCAGACTGATTCCTCTGTGATTGCCGCATTCTTTGAATATTGGTATGGGGCGGTCCTTTTCTCACACTTTCACTCATGTTGTACGAATCATTCACAAAAGCTGGTCCTCCGAATTTGAAGTAGCTTGGCGGTAGGCTACTTGCTCTCTGGCTTTAGTTAACTTCAATATTCTGATCAAACCTTCGACTTCTGCGTGTGAGGGCGGATCCGAGGGGACAGCCCTATAAAATAGCGATCATTAGCCGAAAGCGAACTGATGAGCTTGGCTGATTAAATTTCTAGCGTTTTGACAAGGTGTGGATTGGTTGTCCGCTCCTCGAATATAGTCTCGCTAACACCAGATCTCCTGCTGCCGGTTTCGCGTAGCAGACGGAATAACCAAGGAAAGTATCCATTTCTATCTTCATTGCGCACGGAAACCAGCTTGCCTCGCGGCATCTGTTCTGCCTAGCATGCAGTTTTGTTCTGAGGTGCTCGCGAGTCTTGTGTTCGCTTTCAGCCGGAACATGTCGTTGAGCATCTGATAAACCCAGAGATTGGGCAGAAACCCAATGTCTAGGTTGGCAATTTGATTTGCCACATGAAGACATGTCTGCTGCTAATAACATCTGACAGATATGCGACCAGTGAACATCAGCTCTGTTCAATGAGTGCTTTACACGATTCGCATGTCAAGGTACTTTGATACGCATTCAGAACATCTGACTTCTCCAGTATATCTGCGCCCATAGTGTCGTTACGGACGTCCGCTGAAACTCACCCACAGGTCGGCGCATACAAGTGTGTGGTCAGAGTTCACGCTCGTGCTCCAAATTGATCAGCAGTTTTGGACGCAGTCCATCTAACAGTAACTGATCACAATGTGTTCGATTTGCATCCACGGCTAGTCCGAGACTGTTGGGCGCCACGTAACTTTGTCGAAGTTAGTGATGGCGAGAAATATATACAGCTTCTCCACCTAAATGTAACAACCGCCCGTTGTTACCATTACAGAAGCGTTCCCCTTATTTGTCACCCAGATGCAGTTCATAAGAAAGTTCACAAACTACAGTGCCCGTGATTCTTGTGACAAAACAGCTCGTTCAGTTGATGATCGAAACATCTTTTGCCTGATCAGCGCTTCAGTTTGTGTGGGCGCTGGTAGCAAAGGCAAACAGACATCTATTGGCCTTGCGTAACTTAGAAGCATTGTACGAATCAACCATTCTGTTGGCGCACATTCCACTGATGTCTGGGATACAGTCTACCAAAGTAGCTTCAGCACAGATACTCAGAGCAATGTCCACACCAGCTTGACCACATTTGAAACTGCATACTGTCCAGACAAGCGCCATGCGAAAGTGCCGCTAACGTCACATGTGTGGAGTCGCAGGGTGAGCACAGAGCTCGAAGTTTACAGACTGGTTTCCGACAAACTGCAGATATCGATTGATAGAATCAGTAGTGTTCGGGAAAATGCTACTTGTAATAAACTGCTCTTGAGGTATACCAGTCTTAGCGAGGATTTATGACTCCAATTAGAAACGGATTCTATGATGTCTCGGTTGAACAGGCACCTGTCGACTGGACCGGAGCGATGACCTGCGATCGCGTGCGAGTTGAAACTAGAATGTCAACACCTATCATAGGAAGACGCAGGAGGGCTAGGAATGGACGTTTGAAAACAGGGAGGATAAAAGTGAAGTTTGAACGGGACGATAAGGGGGAAAAAGCGTACGAGGGGGAATGCGAAGACGGGTAGGTTTGAACAACAGTGTCAGAACCCCTATTCACCCCGCTCCATGCAGCAGATAGGACGCCTTTGAGTATTCTTTGGGACAGCGAGGGCAACAATAAATTAGGTGAAGAGATTTTCAATGTATTGCGTGGGCAGAATACTGTCGGGTTGCCAAAGTCTAAGTACAAGGACACGCAGGGTTCTCCTCCAAAGCCGTTGGTTAAAATACCTGGCCGCAAGATAACAAGAGTTTAGTAGTGGGCTATAGGGAGCGTGTTTTAAAGAATAATGAGCAAGATCCACTCTAACCCAATGTGTTGATGACCAGGAGACCTAGTTTGTTTTGCCTCTAACCGTTGACCAATCTGGCATGAGTTACTGAAGGTGCGAGAGGAAACGACCAGTATAGCTCAGTGGATCGTTGAGGCTCGCAAACCATCGCACCACCATAAAGTTCAGTTTCATTGTGATGCTCCTTCAAATCATACGCAGTTTTCTTCCCATCAACTTCCTTTCGCTTCTCTTCATCGGTTCTGTTCATCGTTTATACAAGAATTGAGAGTTACAAATGACTGCGTGTGTTGCTTATACTGCGGGTGGCGCAACTGCTTTGCGAACGAGTGTGCAAGAAGAAAAAGGTGTGCGGGCGTCATTAATGCAAGCTTAAGTGCTGTGATCTCACCTCCCATCCATGCAACGAAGTTTGTGAGCGGTTCCTCACTTGCCGACGGCACGTTTGTGAAGAACCTTGTCACCCTGGTCCCTGTGGCTCGTGCTGGAGGGGAGTCATATATACTGAGATTTATTGTCGGTGTGGTTCCGCAGTCCTGCACCCTCAGCCGTGTGGATCTTCGCCTCCCGAGTGTACGCAACCTTGTGACCGTCCCCACGATTGTGCTCACCCGGTGCGCCACACCTGCCACAACGAGCCTACATGCCCCCCTTTCGCAGTGTTGCTGACAAAAGAGTGTCCCGGCGATCATGGAGTTCAATTCAGCGTCCCCTGTTTCCAACCTGTGCTTACTTGCGGTCGCGTGTGTGGTAAACGACTACCTCAGTGTTCTCATTTTTGTACGCGCCTTTGTCATGTGGATAACTGTCTTACTGAGCCTGATACGGATAATGCGGAATCTGCAACCTTTTTCAAGTGTTCCCAACCATGCCAAAAACCGCGATCCGATTGTGGACATGCTTGCAATCTGCCTTGCCATGAAGCAGAGGGGAAGACCTGTCTACAGGCCGCTTTATCCACTAAGTTTACTCCCGGGAAGTCGCTCAATGTTGCCGTTGCCTCGCTGTGGCCCCGTTGTCAGTACTCCTACACCGTTGTGTGCCCTTGTGGCAATCGGAAAGCAAAACAGACGTGTCACCAAGTGCAATTGAAGCGCTGCATAATGGCTCAGCAGGATGAGTCCTCTGTTCGACCTGAAAGTATACTCAATCCAAGTCTATTTGATAAGCGGGAGTCTGAACTTCTCAAACTACTAGCGTGCGACCACACATGTACTGAGGTTGCCCAACAGGCACCCTCAACATCCGGCCAACAGTATCCAGGGACCGCTGGATGGAAACGCGGTTTTGATCAGGAAGCTGAGGTGACTATTGAAAACAAGAAGGAGTAATGTACAATCGGTCAACAAGTAAATTGTACATGAAAGATAAGAGTTATCTTTTTGGGCGCTACAGTCTCTAATTGCATATCATTCCTTAAACACCACGGAATAGCCACCCATTAGATTATGATTGGCACCCTATGCTCACTTTTTAAAAGCATTTGTACTGGTATGCATGGTCTTGCGTTATCACATCTGCGGCAAAGTCTGTAAAGCGCTTCTCACACATCCCTTTTGAACCGCTTAGCGATCGGGGCATCTAAGTATAGTTTGTGTTTTGACCCATCCAAGCGTAAAGCCCTGCTTCAAGATTGGCAAGTGTCTTCGGACGATTAGCTATTCTGACCTTTTTGCTCATCATGAGCTAAAGGCGTCAGCAATACGCCAACACACGGTACCGACGCTTCGCTGCCACGCGACCACCAACGGTCGCACGTTGACTGAGTATACCGCGAGGTCGCCCGCACCTGTACGGATTCGAACCGGTGGTCTCCGGATTACACGGTGGGCATATGATCCTTCCGGCCACCGGCCTTGTAGTTTTGCGTCCCAGTTCCACTTTTTTTCGACAGTAGACTAGTGTACTACTGCTCAGTGGTATTTTCCCACAATCCTCAGGTTGCTCAATGCAATCCTCTAACTTACTTCATGGCACTCAGAATACTTCGCGTACAAGGTGAATTCCATTGTGCGGCTCTATGTGCTAATGGATGGGGATCGGATCTGATGACTGATATGCGATATTAATGTGCACACTTGCTTTGCAGGCCTTGGAGGCGCTCAGTTAAACGGTCACCTTGAAGAGCAACATCACCCATAGAGAACGGTACCGAGTTAATTCTTCGACAGGTCTGAGTAACTGAAGTTACCACTCGCTCATATTTTTGTCTGGGTTCCATGTTTTGTCTCGTACAATGCAGCGGATAGTTTTACACGCTCACTTACCTGCAGGGTTTCTGACTTTGTCTAGCAAACGAGTGACAACGTACTCGACCATTAACGTGGGCGCATTTGGCAACTGTCGATATTAAATCGAACTGATTTGCTGACTTGTCGAATTATCAAAATCGGTTCCTTACGGCTTTCTAGAGGCTATCCAGTATAGTCCAAACAGTACGAAACAGCATGAGGTGCGATGTCAAACCCTTTCTGGCCTTCAAATTTAGAACCGCTGCAGTCTGCAATCTCCATCGTTTGTTCTGGACAGAAAGGGCGTGCGTTTGCTTTCTGCTGACCCCTCTAGATTTTGGCTTGATCATCTATCGCCATTTGAGGAGTTGCATTCAATTAGCACTTTCGGTTTATTTGGTAACATAAATTTATACTACCTTTCTGAATCCACTTTTCTCCGCAATGCACTTCATCACCAGCAGTCGCGGGTTTCATGTCCACTAAAGTGCGATCAAAAGGTCTGTCTTTAATGATCGGGCAACGGATGGTGATGGAACACGTAGCTTGCTCTTTAAGAGACATGCCATCTGCTCACTTTTCTGGCTTTGATGGACCTACGAGCAGTCATTGAGGCTTTTGACTCCATCTTTCAGTGCATGAGCTGACCGCCAAGCGGCATATTTTTAACTTTACTGAAGACTGACTTTCGATGGAACGTCCATGCCTACAGGCCTACAGGCAACTAGCCAACTCGCAGTCAATTTCTACTTTACTCTGGAATTGGTCAAACGACATTTTTAACTACAGTTCCTGAATGTGAAACGTACACGGTAAAGCTTCTACGAACTTGGATCATCCAGAAAAGGGTTTCACAATCTCATAACTTTAGAGGTCTCTACCTTCTCATTTAGCAACTGACTTATATCTAGCGCCATTTTATTGTGTATTTGCTCTTGTTAAATCAATTCAGGGAGCACGCACATATTCGCGTGAGCTGCTATATCTTATGTACTCATTTCGGCATTTTCTCCCAAAGGTAAGACGCAGTCAGAACTCATGCAGCTGAAAGAATGCCCATTGGATCCGGGAGGTTACTTTATCATCGGTGGCACAGAGAAGGTGATTCTTATGCAGGAGCAGACCTCAAAAAATCGCATAATCGTTGAAGAAGACAGCAGGCATAGTCTCGTTTGCTCCGTCACGTCGTCCTCTGCACAAACCAAGTCGAAGACGAACATCATTATGAAGGACGATAAATTCTTCTTGGCGCACAATTCGTTCACAGCAGACGTACCCATAGCTATTTTGTTCAAGGCAATGGGAATAACGTCCGATCAAGAAATGCTTCGCCTCATCGGATCGGAAGAATCTATTTGGGCTAATTTTGTGCCTAGTTTAAAGCAATGTCTGGAGTTCAACGTGGGTCTCCTTTGAATATTCTTCAGTACTTTCCTCTTCTGGCTCTTTGCAGTCACAAATGCTTTTTCAATGATCACTTCCTGTGTCTAGCATGCGCTTACACATGGTGCTCGTTCGTGTTTTTTAAATCCCTGTTGAGTACTCTGGTCGCACTGCCACCACACGTAAATTATTAAGGAATGCTGTTCCGGCTAGTTCACTCTGATAGCGCTCTGACTCCCTCTCTTCTCGCTACTAAACACTAAAAATGGTAAGTGGAACTAAAATTTCATGTAGTGCTGGCTAGCAGTCAACCAAACCACTTTGGAAAACCATACTAAGACGAGTGAATTTTCGGATGATTTTACACGCATCAGTCCATTCTTCACACCGCATCCCTGCTTAACTTTTCCGAATATTTGCGGTATAGAACTGGAACTTTGAGTTCACTGGCACGTTCAAAGAATACCCTCTTCGTCTCTTATAACCTTCATTCTGGTTGAAGTAATTTCGGATGGAAATTTGGACTGTGATGGTTGGCTGCATTCTCCGGCAGACTGAAATTGTCCACTGCATCTTCCTGGAGATGCTAGCTCAGCTAGCCTCGTCACTTTTGGCTGACAGTCTAGGCTGTGGTTTGATTGCCTGATCTGCCTAGGCTTAAATTTCATTGAGTGTGTCATGTATGACACCAGCTCACAAGGTTAGCGGGGATGGATCAAACGGAACCGGAACCCTGCCTCGTCTATCACAAAGCATCTCGTGACACCTGGCCATCACGTGAACCCATCAAAAGCGTTCACATTGCTATTGAATAACCGCAACTCGACGGAGCTGGCGTTCAGTGAAGCGCTACCGGTTGCGGCGAACCGGCCGACGTGCGCACAAAAGGAACTTAGGCAATCTATCAGAGTGCCATGGTCATGATGTTTCAGTTCAATGTTAACCATCTGATTTCGTTCCACTTGTAAATACCTTATTTCCGAGATGTACTCCGTTTGCGACTGAGGAGAGCAGTCGAAATGTTAACATATCGCAATTTATGTCTTCTGTTTGCGTAGACACCAGCTCACTTACCCTGCGTACACGTCTCATAGGAAGCTATGTGTAAGTGTTAACTACGAACGCTTGGGTGAGCACTGCTCTGCTGTGTTCCACTGGTTGATGTTTTGTTCAATTTTAAGCTATCGTTCGCCGTATTTGACCACTGAAGCTAGTCGAATTGGGTACACGAGCTTCGTTTTATAATCACTCACCGGCAAACCCCGGCTGGTAGCTGCTTGTTTGCCACGAACCGATAAGGGGTAAAACTCTGTCACTCACCTCCTCTTTTATCATCCTATGACATGATTAATCGTGAAAGTTAGCACAGCCTGTGCAAGGACTCCGCAAGGGTGAGTGTGGCGAAGTGCGTTCTTCTCTCTGTCTGTCACGTTTTTAGACTGTTGAGCTTGCTGAAGATCGACCGCGTTTTTTAGACAACCGTGTTACTTGTTGTACTTTCATTGAAGCCCCCGACGGAGTCATTATGAGCTCGGGCCTGCTGCTCCCCGTACATTGATCATTATCGCAGTTCTATCTTTTGTGGCAGTTCCAGGGAGATGACACAACTATAAGTAGCTGCGACTGGACGCTTTCACCCGTTTGATCTCTTCCTGTCTTACTTGGAAATGCTGCAATACGCTTTCTTGTGTGGCCCTTGGAATAGCTACTCCTATCGAACATAGGACGCGGCCGTTCACATTGGAGACTGAACTTCTCTAGTGGAGCTGATACACACTGGTTTATAGACACGAAATTGGTTTGCTAGCTCCGTGGAACCATACGAGCTTGAAGGTATCCGGTTGTTCTCAGAGCCGCGTATTTTGAATACTGTATACTGTATTATAGAGCAAGTAGAAATTAATTCTGTACAGCTCTTTCGAAATATGGTGAAAAATCTTATTGAAGTTGTCAACCGTGAATATCGTTGTCGTTCTCATGTAACGATATTTCAGGACTCACAAATGTGATATGTCATCGTAAGTGTGCAATCGTTCTCTGAATCGAATAGTGGTAAAATATAAATCTAACAACGTTTTGAACTGCTGCACAGATGTTGCCTCCATCACATGTTCAGGTAAACTGTTCCAAATGTTTACCACTCTCCGTTCGAAGCACAGTGGGTGGGGAACACATTTCACATCCGGCACGACAAGTTTGTATCTGTGTCCGCGTGTGCTGCATGGCCCTCGTAAGTGCAGCATTGGCCTTAGCATTGGGAAGTCACCGAGATGTAGAATACGGTAGGTCATAATGAGGTCGACTCGCATCCGACGGTAGGACAAGGTGTAGAGTCCTAGTTTCTCGCACCGGTCTTCATACCCCAAGCCACGTAAACTCGGGATGAGCCTGGTAGCAACGTGTTGGACCCGTTCGATCTTTTGTGCCTCGCCTCGGGTAATCGGAAAGTAGGCGGGCGAACCGTACTCTAGCATTGGTCTAATGATGGAAGAGAAGAGGCGAGTGGCAACCTCTTCAGACCATGTGCCGAAGCTACGTTTGAGCGCCCAAAGCATGCGCAGTCCGTTACGATATAGCCTGTTCGTGTTGTCCACGGACTTCAAATCGTAGCGTGAGAGTACACCTAGGTCCTTCACGGAGGGTGTGGGATATAGCGGTTGGCCGTCAAGGGTGTAGGTTCGGCCGTCAGCACCCTTCCCCAGGCTCATAAATACAGACTTGGCTGGGTTGACCGGGAGAAGAACTTCTGCAGACCATGTGGATAGGCGGTTGAGGTCTTGCTGAAGTAGGCCACAGTCATCGGGAGCGTCAATTTCTCTCCAAATCTTCATGTCGTCCGCAAACAAGGCACACGGCGACCGGAGAAGCTGCGGTAGATCGTTGATGTGGATCAGGAACAGAGTGGGCCCCAGCACAGTGCCTTGAGGCACGCCACTTGTAGAGGGGTACCAGTCAGTTAGATGGTCGTCGACCTGTACCCTCCACTTTCGTCCAACAAGAAAGTCGCGGATCCACCGGTGCAGTGAGCCACCGACACCACACATTCTGAGTTTGTGAAGGAGAACCTCATGGCTGACCTTGTCGAACGCTTTACTGAAATCGATGAATATCACGTCGACGGACTTCCCCTTGCTTATTGCCTTCAACCACTCATGCCTCGTCACAAGCAGGTTCGTAATGCATGAGCGACCTTGCATAAAACCGTGCTGTGCGGGCGTCAGGACCTCGTTTGACTGTAGCAACTGCAGCAATCCCTTCTTCACGATTTTCTCAGCAACCTTTGCCAAAATAGGTGTCAGACAAATTGGCCTGTAGTTGTCTACTTTGCTAGGGTCGCCGCCTTTCGGAATAGGCTTCACCACCGAACATTTCCAGTCAACCGGCAACGAACCTTCGGACAGCGACCTGTTGAAAAGGTCAGTCACGACAGGAGAGAGGATGGTCGAAAGTGACTTGAGAACCAGTGGGTGAAGCCCATCAGGTCCGGCAGGTTTGGTGCCGTCAAGGTTGGCGAGTAGTTGACCTACCTCTTCAACGCCGCAATGCAGACTATCGAGTTCGGTAAAAGCGGTACACGTCGAACTCGGAACAGACACCTGGTTATTCGCAAATACAGAAGCGAAGTGCGCCGCCAACGCGGACGCACGCTCAGTGCTGGAGGTTAGGGGCTGTCCATCCGGGCCATCCAGCACTGGCACATCACCTGCCGGCTTCAGGCGTCGCTTCACGTATGCAAAGATTCTCTTTGGGGCGGTCTTCGCGGCTACTGCGAGCTGCTCTTCGAAATGTCGGCGTTTATTCTTTTTTGCACTGTTGCAGAGGTTCCGCTGACATTTATACCCTTCGTAATCATTGGCAGAGCCAGAGAGGAGGAATTTGTCCCACAGTCTGCGCCGCCTCCGAGCCAGGTTTCCATACTCCTTGTCAAACCAATGAGGCTTAATCGGTCCAACCTTCCGACATTTCAATGGCACAAATTGGGAACACAATGATGTCAATCTCTTTTATAAATATCCAACAGTCTTCCACAGATGCAGCTTGTGACAGAGACCAATCCAGTTGGCTCGCGGCTCGAGCTAGACCATCGAAGTCCGTTTTCCAGTAGTTGGGAGCTGGTTCCAGCGGACGTGAATACGGCAAAGATAATTCCATATCAGCTATGAGCACTGAATGGTCGCTTGTAGCCAGGGCTCCAGGATCCTAACGTCACGCACTCGTTGTTCGTAGCTCGTTAACATCAGGTCGAGACAGGACGGGGTTGAACGTGTTGTTATGCGTGTTGGCTGGCATATGTGTTGCGATGCACCAGTTTCAAGTACCAAATCCACGAACTTTGCTTCAACCTCACTATGTCCAGGCATCAAATGCACATCAGGCCATCGTATTCGAGGACAGTTAAAATCGCCCATAAGTAGAAAGTGTGGACGACTCATGTGGGTTCGAAGAATGGGCAGCCAATCCAAACAACGACTCAGGGGGCTGCGATAAACTGCGCCCACAAGCAGTTCTCCGCGCCTGAGGCGGATGGAGCACCACAGTAGCTCACACAAACCATCGTCACTTCGGTAGGTGCTCACAAGTCTCCCACGCAGGGAAGACCGGATGTAAAGTAAGACACCACCGTGGGCATTCTTTAGTCTATCGCATCGGAAGCACGAGTAACCGTTGAGTTCAAGTTCTTGGGTGTATAACTCTGCATGCAGCCATGTCTCTGCGAGTCCCACTACGTCTGGCCGCTCAGACGCAACGAAACAACAAAGCTCATCGCGCTTATTCATAACACTGCAAACGTTTGTGAAGGCTACTCGCAGGCCGCAGCAGGAGCCGCCGGGCGTGCTTGAAGTGTGAGCAGCCTGTTTATCCTGATTCGCAGATTGTTGGAAACCACCCGAAAATTTACGATACGAAGATTTGTTTCCCCCTCACCAGTGCGTCTTTTCAGCTCAGTGATGGCAGACTTGAGCCGCTCCCTGTCTACTGGGTCCAGGTCTGGACGAACATGGATCTTCAAACCTTTCAGCCTACTTAGGCGGGACATGATCAGTCTTGGACTGGCTTCGTCCACAAAAGTGATTCTCATAGGCCGATTTCGTTGATCACCTTGCTTTCCAAGACGGGTAATTTGCCTCACTTTTACCGAGTCCTCACCAGCGTCGAGGAGTCTGTCAATTAGACCCTGTAAAACTCGACATCGTGATCGTAGCGCACTTGGGGTGATGGATCACTGGACTCCGGTGCGTGAAAGATCACGAGATTATAACGCCTCTGGTCGGACGAGGTTGACCTTGCAGGGCGAAGTATACTACCAGCCTCACGTGGTTTGGCTAACTGTTGACTTACAGAAGTTAAACGCCCAACATCCCTTCGTAATTTCGTTCTTTGTTCTTTCCACTGGTCTTCAGCACTCAGACTTTCACCTGCTGGGACATCAGTGTCCGTTGGACACAACAAAGGTAAACAATTTATGCCAGGTGCAACTGGGCTTCTCACAACGGTTGGACTTCGTGTCGGTGAGTTTGCACGGGTAGAGGAGGACGACTGAGCTGAAACCTGAAGGCTCTTCGGGCTAGGTTGTTGGGCCAAACACACGGAGCTGTTCGCAACGAAACGCTGAGGCCTACACGTCGGCTTTACTCTTCCTGGCTGTATCTTATTTCGGCAATTTTCACATATAGTTTGGACGAAATCGTGTTGGATCTCGCGAAGACGATGAAAATGCTCAACTGATAATCCAACACATGAAATGTGGTATTTAACTTGGCACAAAACACACGTGAGGGCATTTGCACGGTATCCGACTAGCTTGGAGCAAGTACCACAGGATGACTGCTTCGGCATTGTGAATAATCCGAAAACAAGATGGCGGCCAATTGACGGAGAAAATGGCGATAGCAAGATCGCCGAAACCAAGCGATGAAAACACAAGTATTTCTGGTCGGAAATTTCAGAATCGGAAATGAAACTGAATTGTATCTAAATTTCCACGAAATACTTCCAATGAACGCAGAAAGCCAACACAAAGTGATCTTGTCAACACAGCCAAAAACAACCGATCGGAGGCCTTTTTTAACCATGCCAGACAACATGGTCGGTGTATTAGCGATGACCCTCTTGAAGCACGTATGCGAAGTTCTTGTTCAGTTAACGTATCAGTACTTAAACGGACTTCCTTGATGAAGCTTCATCAGCTCCGATCCGATTACAGCTCTGATTCAGCGGAGCAGCAAGAAGTTTTAGTCTATTGATCTAATACATTACTGCCGAAAGATGTGAATAAAGGGGACGCAATGTTTTCCATTTTTTTAAATCTACTCAGTCGGTATACGGGCAATATGCCTCGGTTTCTTTACCATTTAACGAGGTCAGCTTCAGCACCCTGCCGGAGGCGATGTAACTTCCTCCGTCCGATGTAACCATTTTTTCCCGTGATGTTATTCCATGTACTTCTGAGAATAACACTTACGTTTGAGGCGGTGTCACACTATGAATCTGAAAAATTCCTGTTGTGTGACAGAGTGGCGAACCATCTACTATGTTCGACTACGCTGCGTCACTTGAATGGGCAGAAACGTGTAAACTGCCACTTCTGCCCCACAACCAGTGTGAAAAAGACGATTTCCTCTGTCGTCACTTACTACGTTGTCCGGATTCTGTGCGACCCGTTGCGAATAATACGGTATCCCGCAAGCATCCAATCCAAGTCAAGATCAAAACTTCTACAGTCACCGAACGCGATTCGCGGCGCTATGTATTGGACATATGTTTGCGTCTGCGCCGATCTTCTGGAGTCTTTATTCCACTGCATCTCGATTAGATCGAATAATTCCTACGAGCACTGATTGGCGCTCGACGAATTCAATTTTAGAAAGCTAAATTATGCATTCGAGTAGTTAGTTCGTAAGGTGTTTTAACGCTTAACACTCACCACTAGTTTTTCGACCACCGGTGTCGGAAAAAGTATTTAACCACTGGGACGTTGGACTTATATGAAGCCAGGCGACGCATACCAACGCGATCCGTTCAGTTGCTTCCACCTTCCTAGCCTTCCTTGGAGTCCAACCAGCCAAAGAATATTCATCACTGTGTAGTTTCCTGATACTTCCAAGTGTACGACGCTTTTCTTAGTACGTTTGTACTTTTTAAGCTAACATGTCCTTATTAATGGTGTCTGCAAACTTTCAGTGTTTTGTTAAGTCTCGCTTTGATATAAAACCAACTCTATTCTAAGGTGCATCTCATAGTTATCTTTCATGCTTCCGAATGTAGTGATATAATTTATTTTCCTCCTGCCGTAATATTGCGGACTACTCTATGTGCCTCCTTTCTTTTGACTACGAGGGACAAAATCGTACCTGGTTCCTCAACTCCAGGTATCTCGGGGTTTTTTTTGTCCCAAAACTTATTTTTGTCCACCTACCCCATGAAGTCAGAAGCTCATCTGTTCATGCTGATAGACTCAAAATGCTTCCAGTACTCTTTTGCCAAACATTTTAGTTTGTCACTTCATGCATTCTTCTTCATTAGCTATCCTGCTCCCTGCACTACTTCAAAAGGCGTGTACCTTAAATTTCGATCGTTTGGACATGTTCGACACGCAACAGCTTGTCTAGATGTTGCTTTGGAGTTCTGATTACTTTTAGGCAGCTCTGCGCCTGTATTAATTTTCTCAGATCCTAAATAACCGCTTTCATTAACGGCATAACGATTAACGTTCTGTTTCCTCACACTTCGTCGTATCTTAACACCGTTAAAACGTACTCGTCACGTTAGATTGTTGGCCCAAGGAAGTAGCCGTTGGTGCGGCAATTGCCCCACATTTTTGTGTTTTTATTCGTCCTCATTTTTCAGTATAACCGCAGCGATAACAAATGCTGAAAACGCATCACTTCTGGCGCATGACTTATGTTCATATGCTGTCACTGTTTTGTTGTTGTGGGAAAGGAAAAGCGTCCTCGTTGGGCTTATACTTTCCCTTATCTTCTGCTTTCTGCGGTGGATGTTGCGAGCTTGATGCACCCTCATGTTTCACTCTTCTTTAGGTGCACACGCGTCTTGATGCCTGCAAGTGGCTACAGTCCCGTCTGCAACAACGCCGCTTCCGACCAAGTGTCAGCACTGGCGCTGGGAAACCGACGCGACCAGAGGCCACCGTCACAGACTACGACGTTGTTCTGGACATGCAGCGTCTTGTACGCGATATCATCATCACTCATGTGGAGATGGAGAAGTTTAATTTCGCACCTCGAGCTGTGTTTCTCGGACAAATGGTTCGGTACCTGATTCTGGCCCACGAGCAAAAAATCCCGGTAATCAAGATTCTTCTCTTAGTACCTATTGTTACTGCCTTAGATTGCCTCCGAATTTCTCCTATGGCTCTGTCATAATGTACCGTCATCACGGGTCTCCTTCACACTGAAACTTACTTCAATTTCGCTTGTTTTTCTGTATCTATGCAGACGTGAATTTCGAGGATGAAATCCTCATGTGCTTTTTATATTCAAACACTGCCGTCAATCAACTCCAACATCGTGCATAGGTGCTTGGCATTTATATCATTTTTTGAGGGTTATTCGGAGTACCAATTAAATCCTGCATCCTCTCACAAATCTAGAAACGTACTGAGCAGCGGTTTCATCCTATTGGGACTCATCAGCAGTGGTCATCCACCGAACCGAAATGATTTGGAATATTGGTAGCTCGGGAAGCTTGCTCAGTTGTTGTGGAGTTCTCCGAGCTGGGCAACTTGATTGCACACGTTTCGTCAACATTCGAGGTGGCATCTTCAGTGTGGGATTGCTAACAGTTAAGTAGCAGTAGCTGGTAGAAAGCGAACCCAATAATGGATACTGTCAGCAACCACTCCGTTCCTTATGTAGGCATACGGCGCTATTAATTTCGCCTCGTTCTCATTGGTGAATCATCGTGTTCAGCGCTCTTGCTCGAGTATTGTCATTGGCTGCGGAAATGTTGCGACGTAGTTGGGATTATCGCACTCGGATTGGTGCAACGGGTGTGGGTGTGCAGTCTGGGCTCACATTGACCATGCTGTTCATTATCTGTGTGCTGGATTAGGTTCTTTCGAACAACGCTTGTTGATCATCTTGTGCTTTCTCAGTCAGCGATTGGTAGGTTGGATCGATGTCGATATGCACGTTGATTGAGTTCGTGGTTGAGAACCAGGCTTCGAGAAACTCCCTCCCTTTTGTGTTTCTCCTTCGGTCAAGATCTCTACTTTGTTCCAGTCGAAGCTGTGGCCCTCTTCATCCACGTGTGCTGAAATTAATGTGGTTGCGTAATGGTTCTTGCACGTTCTTTGGTGTTTATGTATCCTTGTAAACAGCTTCCTTCCTGTTTATCCCACAGAGTGCTTTTCAGTTTACGCAGTTTATTCTATATACGACATTCCATCGTTTTAGTGTCTCTCGCTTTCCTTTTGGTTTTGACAATGTTTTCCTCACTGTGGCGGTTGGCTTGTGGGATTCCATGATATGGCAATCATTTCAGATACGTTCCTTATGTACGGTAGAACTATACATTTCGTCATAGCTGACCTAGGTTCGGTTTTTGAGGGCTTGCGGTTTAAACATCTTCGGAGGAAACTGCGTGGGTATCCGTTGCATTCAAAGGAATTGAATAAGTGTTTTTCTTCTACTCATTTCGCTTCTGTCGTACTGCAGTGTGTTGCTATTCTATGGAACAGTGTCTGCACACAGCTTATTTTGTGATTGCTGTTGAAATTCAAAATCTAATCAGTGTGCGTGCTTTTTCTGTAAACTGATGTTTGCAATTCGCCGTCCATTGTTCTGGCTACTAACACATCCAAAAAAGGAAGTTTGTTTTCTTTCTCTGATTCCATGGTAAACTGTATGCCGTCCATAATGTTGTTAAGCAGTTGTTGTGCCACCGATACTTGGCTACGTTTGAGTATCACGAACGTATCATCGACGTAGCGAACCCAAAGTTTCGGATTAATCATTGGTAGTAGATCCTCTTCCAATTTTTGCATGACAATCTCTGCGATGAGTCCGGATACGGGTGATCCCATCGGTGCACCATCCACTTGTTTATACATTTTTCCGTTGAACGCAAAGTAAGTTGAGAGATATAAGTTGAGAAGTTCGCATACGCTTCTGGTCGTCATGTTCCCAATCTTCCCTCCGCTGTTGTCCAGACGTTCTGCGATAACTTCTTTGACTAGCTGTAAGTTGACGGAAGTGAATAGGGCGGTTACATCGAAGGACACCATGGTTTCATCGCGTTCTATTCGTAGGTCTTTGAGCTTCGTCGAGAATTGTTGGGCACCGAACCGATGATCCCTCAACTCCAGCGGTTAGTGCCACTAAGCCATGCGTGCTGGCGGCAGCTTGTCGTGCCTTCTAAGCTAACTGCGATATATAGCGCGGTTCGTTTTCCAATGCCGTGCAAGTCACGAGCTTTGCAGAAGACGGGATTAGCCTATTTGCCACGGCTTCCCACTCATTATTGGCACAGGCACACTGACGAGAAGCTTTATAAAACTGATGTGGTATGGCCTCGTTTTTCCGTTTCCTGGGCACCAATCCAAAAGCGCCCTTTTATCGGATGCTCGCGCATAATCTTCCAATGATGACTGCCCTAACACTGACCGAACGTTAGTTGTTTGGACATAAAGAACCATCAGCTACAAAGTTGGATTTGCATAATTCGCTGGGTGGTTGGGTTGCGGCACTCAACCTCTATTGAGATCACTGTTCACTTTGAGGTAGACCTCGGTCATTTCGATCACAAGGACCGTATCTGAAATGGTGTTTCACTGTTGCTCTTCCCAACACTGACACTCCACGACAGACGGTTTCATCCTGGTCTGGGCTCCTCAGATGGAGATATCCTGAATTCCTTTTTCATATATATTTCATATATCTTCGTGTATTGTGACAAAATAGCTGCGGTGTTTCGCACCTTTAGCTGAAATGTACTGCTGATTATGATGACGTTGATGATGGCACTCGAATATGTTATGCACACATAAACGCCTACTGTTCATACTCATCCGATGCACTTATCCGTTACCACCCATCCATTTTGTGGCGACTTTTCAAAGTTTATTCCCTTTGCATAGCATAATTTTTTCGTCCTCTCGCTCCTTTGTGCGCTACTTCTCATGCTATCATCTTTGCCAACTCAACACAAGTTCTACCAGTCACAAATGTTGGCTTACAGCAGCTCGCACCATGCTAATGTTCACATCATTTCATCATTGTGAATTGTTGGTCATGTTCGTCCCCTTTCACTTAACATGCATTATTTGCTACACTGTCTGCATCTTTTACATGCTGTGTCACGGTTCGTTACTATGCTGTAATTTAGCATCTTTGATGTTCTCACATTTAGTCTCAATCCTATTCGTCTCATTAGGCTTGATCGGAAGCACGTATTTTGTTTAAACTACAGGGTCACGCAATCTTCATTCAGCGATTTACGCTGCAATCGATAACTGGCGGTCCGCGTGGATAGTTCACTAATCGCAATGTGATGTTCACACCGCCTTTCTGAACCCAAACGACCCGAATTCACCGACTAACATGTGTCAATATAAGCTACTGATGTTAAGGGAGTAGTAAAGAGATTTAGAGTTTCAGCCACAGCACATCTGGAAACCCACAACCTGCCTAGCGCGTGAATCCCTGCTTGTCCTTCGACACCAGGTTCTGTCATTTGGCAGGTTGGAATGGTTATAGACTAATGAATAGTATCCTGTAAATTTTGTTGTGAATTGCGAAGTTCGCCTCAGGAATTTATGGGACACGAAGGCTAGTTGACGACTTCCTCTACCTGCATAGCACTCAAAGGCCATGCTAACCTGTGCTCATTAAGAGACTGTTTTACGATTTTGCTTTGGAAGTCTAGTAAGCATTGCAGTAGCCTAGAAATCAAAGAGCCTGCCATCCATTCGCAATGCACCAGACAGCCGTTTCGACCTGCTGGTACTCGTCGGTGGTGCATAACCCGCGGCTCCATCAGGGTCTACACCCTTGAACACTAGTGGTTTGCCTCACTAACGAGCAGCTTATGCCACTAGGTCACATGAGAAGATAGCTGACCATTATGACCTACAAGCTAACTATGATATAGCGCGACCCATCCTCCATTGCCACGCAACTTACGAATGTTGCGGAGGAGATGGCTTACTTCACGAAGTCGCTTGTCATTAACTATATACCTTTGTTTATGTGTTTAACGGCAGCTATGTACGATATGGCACTTAGAAGCTGTTAAAGTGGCTGTTTTGACCACACTTGGATAGGCGATTTTGAAGTAGTTGTATTGAGGGTTCACCATAGTAGCCTCCGATCAGCCTACCACCATTCCGTGAAAGCACTGGACAACCACTTTGTTTTTTTGAGACTTGTCAATGGTGCGCACACCCCGCTTCCATCAAGAACCCAGGCCTTGGCCACCAGCCATCATCTATGACATCAAATCACAGGGGGCGGTGGCGGGCCGTCATTAATTACCCACTAGCCACGTTACATCGTGTCCCACCCAACAGGAAGAAACGGTCGTCGGGTGCCTTTCCGCATTGTCGGTATGCTATCCTGCTCGTAGCCTAGTAACCAGCTTGTCTCGTAATCTGGCGGCTTGGGTTGGAATCCGCGTAGAGGCGACCTCGCGGTTTACTCAGTCCGCGTGCGACTGGTGCTGGTCTGACGGCAGCGAAGCGCCGTTACGGCGTACAGCTGACACATTCTTTTTTATTATTATCTGGCTTAGAAGGTACTGTAATGAACCCTCAGTACAGTGACGTTAATGTCCTTTACTCCCGAGTACTTTTATACTCATTAGGCGTCCTTCGTTCATCTTATACTGCCGCACAAAGCTGATAAAATTGACTACTATGTTCACTGATTCAGGCAGCTTAATATTGCGGTCCCGTTTCGAGTGTACGTATCAAAAGTCACACAGCAGCACTACTACTGCTTGGCGAATGCGAATTATTTGAGCCACATTCTCCGGGATAATCTTCCTGGAATTATTCATTATTTCAATGACAAAACGATTTGGACCAATGGTATGCGGCCGCAGCCTCACTGTTTTAAGAACATTCAGGTGCATCTTATGACGTGTGCATTGACCTCCTCATTTTTCCTACGAAACTGAACGATCGATCAGGGCAGATGACGTAGCTGTTTTGGAACATGAACATTCTGGGTTGACATTGGTTTCTGCACTGTTTGTACCCTTTACTGTAGCCGCTGTTTGCTACAGGGTTGGCACAGTCTTGTCAAAATTACCCGGAGTTCTCCAACACAAGTACACTGTCGGGCTC